CTGTATCTGTATCTGTATCTGTATCTGTATCTGTATCTGTATCTGTATCTGTATCTGTATCTGTATCTGTATCTGTATCTGTATCTGTATCTGTACCTGTATCTGTTTCTGTATTTGTATCTGTATCTTGATTTTTATCTGTATCTGTGCTTCCATACATACCATCTTAGCCCCCAGGGGGTAATTGCTCGGATGTATTTCAATTGCATGTGCCACAAAAGTCACAGCCAGGTGACCACAGTTCGTAAAGTCAAACTAAAAAGTCTGCATTTTCTGCTGACTGAGAGAGTGAAATGCCCACCTTCCATATGTAATACCATTGCGGTACTATGCGTACATGACACTTGACATCTGTCAACAGAATTCAAATTTTTGTTAAATAAAGAGTTACGTAGTGCATAAGAATACACATTGCAACATCTGAAGTCACAGAGCTCATTGGAATAGACGTGAGTAGACTGACAGCAACAATGTCCGAGGATCTCATCCTCTGCACCATTGGGGCAGCAACTAACTGAAATAAATAAGTGTAGGTATGAGTTATATATATGCAAAAATGTACTGGCATACTGACTACTTATTTGTTAAGCCTAAGTTGAGTCTTAGACAAAAGCCTGCAATAAATAAACCGATTAAAAAAAAAATAAAATAAAATATTATAAAAACTCAGATGAAATGCTGCTTGGAATCATTGTTGAAAATGCAAATGGAAAATGAAAAATCAGGCTCAGTTAAATGACTGACTTAGATTGACTTAAATTGCCGCATAGATTCCTTCAAGATATACACGAATGATGAGCAGGAGTACCAAGCCCGCAATTAGGAAGAAGAGGCACGGAGTGTAACAGATATGTGTGTGTGTGTTTGTTAGCTATACGTTTGCAAGTACTGATCACCATTGGATTCAGGGTATATCATAGTCAGGCACTCCCGCCTCCTGCAGCACGGCTCGCACTTGTTGCGATTATTTTTGCAAAACAGAAGCTCAACACAGACGCAAGCATGCGAGTAGCCAGTGCTGCATATTCATAAACGAATGGGGGAGAAGAAAGCAGCGAAGACGAAGTTCTGACTGCCATAGCTGAGCACATGCAGCAGCAATTGCTGAGACCGATTGTCGCGCTCTGTTGACGTAAGGCATGAAAAATTGAGTCAAAAGTACGCAAAAGCGTAATGCGATTATGTGCTGGGGTAAGTGTACATATAAGGAGTATTTTCGTATTATCGTGTATGGGCTCTGCTCCGCTGTGGTAAGGTGAGGCTTGCTGCTAGTGCTGCTGACTCCGAAACGCCAGCCACGAAAAGCTTTCGGAGTCGCTTAACAGTGCGCTGTTAGCGCACTTAACAGCGCGCCGTACAATCAACAGCTGGCGAACAGAAAAGCAGGAAGCAACAGTCGTGGCGCTGCGGCTCGGCTGCTGTTTCTGTTGCTGGCGAACAATTTAAAATAACGTGTCCTGCTCGCAAGCGACTTCAGTTCCTGTCAAGCCTTTGTCGGTTACGTTTGCCCCAGCCGCAGCGAGCCGAAGCTAGCCAATCAGTCAGYCAGAATAGCCAAGTTCGATTCTGAATACCCAAGCCCTAGAGCACAGTCACAGGCACAGTCTACAGAAACTCGGAAGAACAGTTATCAATTGTGACTATATACATATAGTGCATATATGTATATGTATTCATGCATATACGTATCTGTAGTACAGTGCGAAGCCTGTAGATTATCCAAAGCTAGCCATCAAATCAACTGAGCAAAGAGAACAGCTCGAAAATTGGAACTCAAAAATTGTGAAAGTCAAGTGGAAGGTTTGACATTTTTTTGTTGTGCAAAGAACTAAATTTTTTTTTTCGAGTGCTTGAAGTGTGATTGTAAACACCTTATAGATATACCACACACCCATATACCATCCGGTGTGTGCATATATATACATATATTCATACATATTCTCTAGTGCGATAAGAGTTAAATAAAAAGCGCTCCCATGTATTGTGTACTCTCAGCGTTCTGTGCGTGCATTGTGTTCGTCTTGTGTGTGTTATTGTTGGGGTGAAGATCAGGGCAACCGCAACGGCTACACCAGCACGAACACGCACACCAATACCGCTATCAACACCAACACCAATACCAATACCAACACCAACTATTGAACGCCAGCGACTATAATAACAATCACTAATCTGACCGAACGACTGACGTTTCCACTCTCACTACCCAATCTGTCCGAATTCGCTTTTGCCCCACTGTTCCACCTGAGTTCAGGCACGTGTGTTGCCCGTCTGTGTGAATTTGCGTGTGTGTGCGGCCGGTCTGTGCTTTTGTTTCTACTAGCTGTCGCAGTAGCAGTCGCATTCGATCCTATTATAAAGTAATCAAAATGCACCCCTTGACGCTCGTCAGAAGCGGCTCAGTCATCTGCCGGGTCGCCCTGTGCCTCTTCTGTTTCTGTTTGATTGGGCGTCAGATTTCGCTGCTACTTTTAGTGCTGGCAATCTTTAGCATTTGGTTTAATTTACTCTGCTTTTCCTACTTTATGTGTATTGGTGTGTGCGATGCCATTGGACTTGCCATCTCGCTATCTCTAGTCCTGTGCCTTGCTTGCTACGAGCAGGACTCTGCGCTTCAATGGCTCCATGAGCCATAAACGCTGACTTGCTGCTAGCCAAGTTAGCGTTTCGTTTTTATTTATATGTGTGCGCACACCCGCTCGCCTTTTGTTGTACCCCTCCCGCCTTGCCCCACAATGCTGGCTGCTCGAATTATTCATATGCAAATGCTGTGCAAAGCTCTCGCTTATGATATGCGCTTTACCAACCGCACAGCTTCTGTCCCGCCTGCCTCTCCACTCCTTTGCCCTCCACTCCTCTCCACTCCTTTCCTATTCTGGCTGTCGTCCTCTGCTCCCTTTAGAGCCTGTTGTGCGCATTTCACTTTCTACTTTCCACTTTCCATTTTCACTTTCAGCAGCCGTGCTTTTTTTTTATTCTTTCACTCTCTCTCGCTCTGTTTTTATCGCTTTTCGTTGCCTCACTGACCCGCTGGCCCGCTTTGGTGCAGCGTGCATAAAGTGTAGCATACTTATCAGCGCTCGCGCTTTATTTTCGCTTACAAATTTGTGAGTGCTGCGCTAATCTAATCTCTGTTCGCACTTGTCACGCTCGTCCCATTATTGTTTCCATCTATTCATAGATATATATTAGATTCATGCTGGCTTTCCATCGACCACTTGTTGGCTGTTGCTGTCCCATCTAGTCGCATGCGAAATTGCTGCATTTTCCATTTTCCATTTTCCATTTTCCGTTTCCCATTTGCCACTCGCTTTCGGCTTCTTGTCGCAGCTTCAATGTTCATTTGTATTATTTGCCAGCGGACACCACAGTGTGGTTTCAGTGGCTGAACCACAGATTCTTGGCTACTTTTTGGCATTTGCCAGACGCTTGTTGGCTGTTATCAACAGCAGCTGCCGCATTCACACAAATCACCAAATTCACAGCAATTAGTTGTAATTAAGAACTGAAAGGGCTTTAAGGTTGAACCTACTTTTCACTCGAACTGCACAATAATTTACATTGTACTTGACTTAATAACGTATTTGGGAACTGCTGCTTCAATTGAAAATTTGTCAATATATTTAAGCACACATACATACATATATACACATTGATATTTTAAGTTGGTTTCGATCCCATTTTGGAGAATTTACACATTAGGCTAAGTCGATCAGCTAGCCAAAACTGCCTGCAATAAGTTCGAATTTCTAGAGGTATACGATTATGGGTGATATTATTTATTATTATATTATAGGCATTTTATTATAGATAGAATATCAGCTGAAGTCCTCAAACGATTTGGAGTCTTTAGAGCTTGAGTTAAGTGCAGTTTACAAGTGATTCTCATTATATTATAGGCTCTTTATTCTAAATAGCATATTATATGAAGTCCAAAAGTGATCTAGAGTCTTTTAAGTTAGAGTTGAGTAGAGATTATTAGGTTTTTAGGTAGAAGCACATTGATGTCTTAAGAGTTTGAGTTGAGCTTAGACTGATTATTAAGTTATTATAGACTTTTTTATTATAGATAGAATATCATATGAAGCTATCAAGTGATCTTGAGTCTTTTAAGTTGGAGTTGAGTAGAGATTATAGGTTTATTATAGACTTTACATTATAGGTAGAATCAATTTGGTATCTTAAGATTTTAAGTTGAGGTTAGACTGATTATTAACTTATTATAGACTTTTTTTTATTATAGATAGAATACCAGCTAAAATCTTCTTAAGTTACAGTTAAGTAGAGATTATAGGTTTATTGAAGACTTTATACCATAGGTAGCCGAGTTTGAGTTGAGTTTAGACTGATTATTCATTTATTATAGACTTTATAATCTAGGTAGACTATCAGCTGAAGTCCTCAAGCGATCTGGTGTCTTCAGAGTATGTGTTCAATTAAGATTATAGGTGACTATTCATTTATTGTAGTACTTATATTCTAGGTCCTTTGAAGTCCTTTGAGTTGTGTGAAATTGATTCTTCATTCGTGACTTTCATGAATTTCTCATAACGTATAGCTCATACAATAAAACTCTCCGTAGCATTAAAATAGCCACAACCACTGCGTGTTCAAACCCAATTAACACATAGAAAATCTGCAGCTAGCGAACGGAATTGAGCAACAGAGCAGCAAAGCAAAATCGACTCGACCGATGCGAAACTGTCTCTGATAGGTTAAAGCTTTCAATAGGTGTCCGCAAGGAGTACAGTAGCTTATTAAAGTATATTTACGAATGTACGCAATTGTTTGCCACTCACTGTAGCCAGAGCCAACTGGCTCCTATTTAGCTTACTTTCGCTTACACAAACTCATGCTAATTATATATCTACAGTCATAATAAAAAAGAAAACTAAGAAAATAGTTTTGCTTCTCTGCAAAGGAAAACAAAAAGAGTTATTTAAGTCAAATAAACGGATATCTACTTTTTGTTTAAAGCAGAAAAAAGAAGAGAATTGCTAAAAAAAAACGTTACTTTCAGGCAGAATTATTATTATTTATTTTTAAATGGTTTTTAATGAAATTCATCAATAAAATACACAAAAAAAAGTAAATGAAAAAAAAAAAAAAATAATATTCATTATTTCATATTTGATTAAAAAATATTTCAATGGCAATTTTTAATAATGATATATTATTAAAAATAAATATACATTTTATCCATTTAATAAATGTAATAGCTTATCCAATATTTCTTCATGTTCAATAACCAGAAACAAAGCATTTACAGCACTATTCAATAAGAGAGCAGCGATTCAAAGCGCTTCAAATATTTATCAATGTTTATCAAATATTTCTAGGTGTCTAAAATATAACAATAGCTTATTAAATACGTACATAAACGAATAAACAAACATTCGCATGAACAGCTTATAATCAGTCTAATTAGAGTTAAAATCAATATCCTCAAACGCTATAGTTGTGAGACCGTTTAACGCTCACTCAAAAGGTCGTCCAGTAGTATTTATGAGAACCCAAGGTTAAAGTGAGTCGACTTGGCTCTCGGTCCCTCCCAGCTGGCCGTAAGAATGAACTCTGAACAACTGTGAATTGCAATTTAGCAAGCTCTACTTATAGGGTTTCCATATTTATTTCCGTTCAATCAGGCGCAATCCCCAAAAGGATTTCAAGCTACCATTTTATTAGGATCTACAAGTTGCAGCTTGTTTGCAAACTATGAAATAAGAAATTCCGCAATCATCTTCAGTTCACAGTCCTTGCTTGACAGACTTTCAATGGGCATGAAGCGCAGATAAACAGCAACGGCAGGAGTCGCCAACAATTTTAAGTAGACTGTCAAGGTCTGTCCAATTAGTTTTCATTTCGTTTTCATGTTCGCGTTCGTTTTCGTTTTCGTGTTCGTTTGTTTGTGCTCGTTTTCATTTTGTGTACTTTTTCGTTGTATTTCGTTGCCTTCGTTGCTCGAGTTTTTAAATATTTTGTCTTGGTGACCCGCATTTAGCGCAAGGGCTTTTAAAGGGCTTCATTAAATAGCAATTACAGCACACTCTGCTCCGCTCTCTGACACACCCACGTTCGCTCGAATCACAGCCAGAAGCCATAACCCAGCCCCGCTACGATGTCGGATCTTCAGGACCAGCAGGACACCACGAGCGGCAGTCAGAGTCAAAGTCAAAGTCAGAGCCAGAGTCAGAGCCAGAGCCAGAGTCAAAGTCAGAGCCAGAGTCAGAGTCAGAGTCAGTCTCAAAGTCGGTCCACGCCATCGGAGTCGTCTGCTCCGCCAGTGACTGAGGAGCATGAGCCGCCCAGCAGCAGCAACAGCAGCAGCACCAGCGCCGGCCTCATCGATGGCGAGCCGGACGGCGACGGAGCCAGGGATATGGAACGGGACAGGGACAGAGAGGCCCATGGCGAGAGGTGAGTCCGAGCCGCATTATTTAAGCAACGATAATCATGAATATCTATATCTATATCTATATCTATATCTATATCTATATCTATATCTATATCTATATCTATATCTATATA